GTAGCTTTTCAGGATTTTTATAGTAACACAGTTCAATAATTTGTCAACCATTTAGCTAAAAAGCATTATTTTCAAGGTGTAAAAGAAAGCGGCTTTACAAAGGAAGTGCTGGGATAAATTATATGGCCTGGTTGCAGTGTGTATCACAAATGATGCATGTTGAAACTTGAGTTTCATGAAGGAGAAATTCTTTTGTCGGCCAGGCAACCATGCTGAGGCCAGAGCCTGTTCCACTGCCCCAGACAGGTGCAGGGTGGCCAGGGGGCACTGGGCCAGGCCCAGCCCCAGGCATCAGGCAGAACGCCATGGGCAGGAAAGGGGGAATCTGTCACAAGGCATGTCAGGACTAATCAGAGTTGCACACCCTTGGGACCAGGGAAATTCAGTGCTGAATCTGAAGCACATTCTGACTCCTAGAAGAAAGACTTCTTGTCTCCTTCCGGAAACTTCCTTCCTGCAGGAAAAAGCATCAGGCCTTTTTAGCTGCCTCTGTGGGATAGCTGTCATCTGAGCTATGTATCCCAGGGAAGATGCTAGATGACCTGACCAAAAGTGCTTGGCTTAACACAGCACCTGATGTATCCACTGGCAGGTTAGGGTGAAGGTAGGTATTGCCTTCCTCAGCCATTTCAACCTGTGCTGAGGGTGGATGGAAGGTGTTCCCATTGCTCCAAGGGGCAACTTCATGTGTTTTGGCAAGTTTTATCAGACCTTTAGGTGCAAAATTAGGATTAAATAAAATATATCCTTAACTATGTGCAGTTCTAGATCACTCATCTCAAAAGCAAATACTAAAAACTAGTAAAAGCTAAAAGAAGGACAACAAATATTGGAAGTATGGAATAGCCACCCATGGGAGCAGAGACTGCACAGCTGCACAGTTGTGCTAAGCACTCATTTAGGAAATACATTTGGCAAGCAAACCCAGATGTACTCATATACATACAGCTGGATACCAAGGGCATGGATAGGAATGAACTCCTTACCATCCCCTGAATTGAAATGCAGGAGCCAAGGATGATCCTATGAAATCAGAAGGAAGCAGTTTCAAGTTTTTAAGGGCAGGGAAATTTTGGAAGACAGAATCAATTTTTTAAATCAGTTATTTCTAAAAGTCATTAAAAACCTTCCTGTTCTAAGCAGGAAGAAGCACTTTTATATAAGCTGAAAATACATTTAAATTGCTGTAATATAAAAGACTGACTTCTGCTAAGCAGAATAAAGCAGCTTCAGATGGTGTGAACATCTGACTTCTTTGATTCTGCCTTCCTTGCAAAGACAACATTCCCAGATGATGTCTACATGAGAAAGCTTTTTGGTGTAACAGAAACAGATTAACATATTGGAGCATTGAAACATACTCAACAGAACAAACCATGTGTAGGATTTGAGACTCTCCAAATGACCAGCCTCTCATTTGGATCTCTGTTTCTCCATGTGGACATGCATATGCTTGGCCTGCAGCTGAAGCTCACCTTCTGGTTTTATTTCCTCCAGAAGGAATCTAGATGTGAACCAATGTGCTGCAAGACATGACCTCAGACTGAAAGAAAGTGTTAATAGTTTCTCAGCTTGTTCCCTTGAGTACCTATTACAGGCAGAAGTTCTGCAAGATAAAGGAAAGGCTTGTCCTCATCAGCAGTTTGTAGGAAATCAAACCAGCAGCTGACAGGAACTTGCACTGAGAGGAGTTAATGGAGTTTTAATGAGTGAGCTGGGCCAATAATCACACATCTACCTGGCTTCTGAACTGCCTTCATGATAGGAATGTAATTTTAGGCCATCTCCTTCTGAAAGATCTGAAAATTTGTACATTCTCATGGAGGATCATACTAGTTGTCAAATTTGTAGGGAACTAAGAGTAACAGGATTTCATAGATTAAGAACATTTGCATTTCTCCCATTCAAATTCCCAATTATCTAGCATCTGTGCTGAAAAAAAAAATCAACTGGTCACTGAACTTAAAACCCCTTTTGTTAAGAATAAAATCAGGAACCCCTCTTCATTAGTACTAGCGAATTGCTTTAAGGATTATCAGAAAAGGATGGTAGCAATAGAAGTGCTTAGTAAAATGAGAGATTACTAACACATGAATCCTTTCCTTAAATTCAGATCAGTGCATAATGATAATCTTCTTTTCTAAATGCAAGGGTGCAGATGTTTTGCTTATATAGATTATACTTACAAAGCTGAGTATTGCACTCATACAAAACTCTCTGAAATCAGCTTTTCATGTACACAACCCTGCAAAATAGCTGCTAGGATTAAGAGAATGAATTACAAATAAATAAAATAAAGTAAAAAAAAAGGATGTTTATCATATAACCACTCTAACAGCTAACCTGACTTCCCTGGTAGAACATTTCTACCCTAGGAATTTAACCTATGGGCACACATAATTAGCTCTTTCACCTTAAAGTTGCTGAAAGAAAGATTTGCTTAAGAAGATTAGGGTTTTTTAGTGTTCAATAGAAGTACTGACAAATGATCCTAAAATGATTATAGGGGAACTCTTTCAACACCATCTTCTGATCTTTTATTTTGAAATAGCATGCTTTTCAATCAAAAACCTTTTATCCTGACCTTTTGTGTTTTTCCAAATCAATGCTCAACTTTTAATACCTTCTGTATTCAAATCGTGCATGCAATAAGATGGTTTTCAAGGCTCTTTTCATCCACATGGATGATGACCACAATGGTCTCCTTAAATAGAACTTTAGGGCTAGTTTATTTCTTCTGGTCATTGTAACTGCATGCAGCTTCCTGTCTGCACTGGAGCACTTTACAATGCCTGTGCTGACACAAGTCTTTTTGAACCGTGCTATACCAAAATTACTTAAGTTAAAAAAAATGTCCAAAACGGGGGGATTTTTAAGGCCAGGTGGAAGCAAGAGAGGTGATGCTGAAAAGCAAATACAGAAGAAAGTTGACTCAGTCGGGTCATGGCAGGCAAATGGATTATTCCACCATTTTGCCTGTATACCATAAATTTGAGGTGTGCAGTAAACACTGTGATAGGGTAAGCACTGTAGGACACCTGCAGTGCCTCTGTAGCTATTGTGTGCATGACAGTCTATTTCCTCATAAAAGCTAAGGATCAGATTTTGAATTACTGATACAGACTTACAGAGTAATCCTCTTTTTTAAGGTATAGAATTATCTGGATCCTTCTTTGCTGCACAGTTTTATATGTGCATTGAAATTATGTGAGCTCTATTTCTATTTTTCCTATTCCTATAATTCTCAAGCTTGAGAAATTTATCATACTAAGCCGTTAGCATAATCTGAAAAATTAAGCAATCATTTAATCAACTGATGTAATAAAGAGAAATCAATTTATATTATAGATTCTTGTTCAGTAAAAATGAGTAGACTTTCCTACTTTAAGTTATGCTGCCATCTACAGGCAATCCAGGCTGGAAGAGGTCTCTGGCCTCTAGTTTAACTGCCTCCACAAAACAATGATAATAAAAATGGAAAAAGTATCTGATGCTCAATGCAGTTACTCACTATGCTCTGTTTGATGCCAGACCTCCCTTCCCGAACCCAGATCAGCTCCTCTTCCAGGTAACTTGCCCCAGTTTATGTACTGGGCATGGTGTTCTGTGGTGTGGAATATCACTTTGGTCAATTGAGGTCACCTGCCCCAGCTATGCTTTCTCCCAGTTTCCTTGTGTACCTCCTCACTGGCAGAGAAGAGACAAGAAAAAAGTCCTTGACTCAGGATAGTTAACTTAGCAAAAAGACCAAAAGACCAGAGTGTTACCAACACCATTATCATGCTGAATCCAAAACACAGCACTGTAACAGCTACTGTGAAGAAATTAACTCTACCCTAGCTGAAACCAGGACAGTTGCTGAGAGCTTTATCCCATTTGCTCTTACAAACCTCCTCAGATGGAGGCTGCAAAGCCTCTGGGGAACCTGTTCCACTACCTGATTATCCTCACAGGTAAAAAGTCCTTCCTTTTAACCATTGTAAATCTGTCATTTCAATTTAGGCTCATTGTCTCTTGTTCTGCCACACTCACTATGAAGAGCCTGACTCCACCTTCTGGCTAACCTCCTCACAGGTACTGTGAGCTCCTGTTCCCACCCAAACTATATTTTTTCCGAGTTGATGAAGCCCAGTTCTTTCAGCTTCTCCTCAAATGACAAGGGCTCTAGTGCCCTAATAGCTCAGAGGCTCTTTGCTGAACTTGGTACAGTTCTTGTACATTTTTCTTGTGCTAGGGAGCAAAACCGAATGTGAAAGTTAAATGTGGTCAAACAACGGCTGGAAACTGGGATGTAATACTTTCCCAAGATCTATTGGTTGTGTCCCTGCTAACCTATTCCAGAAGGCTGTTGCTCATCCTTGCTGCCAAGGAACAGAGCTGGACAGGGCCCCTGTTCAGCTGCTCACCATGCCCCTGCACAGCTGGGCAGCAGCACTGGTGCTTCCTTCCCACGGGTAGCACTTCACATTTGTCCTTGCTGAGCGGCGTACAGTTCCCATTGACCTCTTCCTTCCACATATCTAGGCTGCCCTGAACAGCAGCCTGACCCTCCAGAATATCCATTTGTTCCCTTCATTCGGTGTCATCTGCAGATTCAATGAAGGTGAATTCCATCCACTCCTCCAGGCCACTGACAAAGACAAGAAGCAGGATGGGCCCAGAAGACACCCCAGTGACACTCACTCCAGGGAGGGTGACACCCCTTACCTACTACTCTCTGCACCTCATCATCCAACCACATTTTCACTCATCTGGTTGTCCACCTATCCAAACCACAATATCCCAATTTCGTTTCACAAATATTATGGTACAGTGGCAAACAGATGAGGTAAATGATGTTTTTTGTTTTACCCTTTTTCAAAAATCCACTCATTTTATCACAGTTAACTGCCTTTTTTTACTTAATCAAAAAGAAAATAGAAAAGTTTTTTTGCTGAAGTCGGTTAGTATTTTTTTTGGTACTACCACAAGACTTGACAGTAACAGGAATAGAGCCTATATCTTGTAAACAATGTTATATGGTTTTGGTTTTATTATAAATGTTTTTTCCAGTGATGTCAAGTACTCATCTGATCTTGAAGAACTTACTAAAATAGGCACTCCCAGCTATGCACTACTGAATCCTGACATTGTCAGCATTAACTTAATTTGGGGCATTCATCAAATGTCTGATAAGGCAACCGACAACTTGTCACTGTTGACTCAGGGCTTTAACCTTTTAACACCAAATACCTGAACACAATGAAACACAACAAATTTAGGAAACCTCAGTACAACCTTTCAGTTAGAAACCTTTAGACTTGACCATTATTGCTTGAATAGCATTTAGTATAAAACATATAAAAATACTATGAATTACAAGATATATTTGTTTGCTGCAAATGCATTTCCAGGACTTAACTTTGCAAGCCTGATTTCTCTGCAAACAGGAAATTCATGCTGCTTGCCCATGATTTCTTTAAGTTCTGTTAGACCATCCTGGTGCAACAGTTTTACTCCAATGCATTCAATGCATTTAAGAGTTTGGAATTATTTTGAAACATTCTAAAGGATTTTGGTAATGTTTTTTTTCCTTATCTGCATGAATCTCAATCTAAAGTTTTTTCCTGTTCATGACTTGAACCTGTTATTCTCCCTTATGTTCTTGCCATTACATGCAAAATACCAACATTGTACAATTTTTCTGCAATCTTTTGTTAAGTGGAATCTTAAAAATCACATTTCATTATTTCTCTCAGACAGACTGTTGCGTAACATGAAGGATCAAGGTCAAATGATATATGAAGAGAGACTTCTAAATCATTCAGATGGTTGTCCTCAATTTTGATCTCTTTTTCACTACTTTCCAAAAAATATGAGAGATTCTGAACATTCTTCAAAATGAGTCTGTAGCATCCAGGTATATTTAGCTGTAATGGAGACACTCTGAATTTGCACAACTCCAGCTCATCCTTGGAAAGTCTTTCATGGTACCATTGTCCAACTTTATTACTGGGATACTTGATACTGTGTCCAACCATCGGAAGAACCACCTTCAAAGAAAAAAAACAAACAAATCTGAGGCAGTGCTCATCCATTCCCCTTTAAATAAATGTGATCATTTAAAATGTGTTTAAACCTTGTGTTTGGGGGGCTGAAATAGTAAACCAGCAGATTCTCTTGTGAAATGAAGCTGTGCATTGGCAGGTATATTGAATGTCATTAAAAATAATCAGTGTATCACGATTCCTCAAACAAAGCAGTCTACAGCAGCAAAGATATTCAGTTGCCATATATTCAGTTGCCATGCAAGACTTCACAACTACACTCTGAAACCTTCAAAAATTAGAATGTCAACTCCTTTTGAAAGTTTTTCCCAGTAGACTGAAATCTTTCCCAAAGTATTCAGCTTCAGGATAAATACTGCCATACTGCAAATGACACTGTACTCATTTCCACTGCCAAGTAAATTTGTTTTGAGTGTGGAAATTAGTTCACATGTGTTTTCTTCAGTGAGCATTCTGGCAGGGACAAAGCACCAGTTAAATTAATCACATTATTTAAAACAAAACATTTTAATCAAATAAAAAAATCAACAATTCAGAATTTTTCATATAGACTTACTTGGTATATAGAATATTTGTTAGCTGATTCTTCTGAAGCAGTGACTACATGAACCTGACAAGACATTTAAGAAGAAAAAAACAATAAGCTTTTAAAAAGTAAAAACATATGCTTTATTTAAAGAATTATGCACTGTACTCACAAACTTGCACAAAATATTAAGATTATTTGACTGCTGTAGGGGCAATAAATTCAGATATGAAAAAATCTTAAGATATGCTTAATTTATATGAATCAGTTTACTGGTAGATGGAGCTGCATTAAACATTTACTGATGCTAGCTACCACTATTATTCTTCAAGTCAGAAGTTAACAATGCCATCTTGTGCTACATCAGCAAATGTAAAAATACAAAAAAAATGTTTTATATGAAGAAGGAATATATCTACATAAAACTCAGTAACTCAATACTGAATGTAATACATCTGCTTTTAATTTTGTTTGATCTAATTGTTTCATTAGCATTCACTCTCAAAAATACTGGTAAAGAAAAATCTCAACTGAAAGACAAGCTACTCCATAGGGAGTGGAGGTAACGTTTCAAATGCTCTTGTCTTCAAATTTGTAAGAGGTTCACCCAAAAGAAATTAATTACATTCTGCCTCTGCACACATCTGTTTGTTCTCCAGTAAAACACTGCACAGTTTATGATTGATCTGATTAGGAGAAACATAGAATCATAGCATAATCTAGGTTGGAAAAGATTGAGTCCAGCTGCAAACCTAAAATTGCCAAGTCCACCACTAAACCCTCATCGCAGACCTCCAGGGATGATGTCTTAACCCATTCTCTGTGCAGCCTGTTCCAGTGCTTGATAACCTTTTTGGTGAAGAACATTTTCTAATACACAATCTAAATTTTTCTGGCATAACTTGAGGCTATTTCCTCTTGTCCTACCACTTGCTACTTGGCAACTATCTTCACAATAAGGTATGCTAACCCTAAAAGAAAAGAGCACTTCAGAATGGACTCGAGTATGTCCAAACTTGGGACCAGACACTCCACTGCCAGATTCTACTCACTGGCTCACCTATGGCTCCATGCACAGTTCCCAGGCTGAGCTATGGGCAAGTAGAAGCACTCCCTTGCCTTTTAGTACTTTACCAAGAAGACCACAGCATTTTTTCAACAGCTGCTGCCAGTTTAGACTCAACACCAGTGAAATTGTGCTAAACATGTTTTGTCTCTGTAACTGCAATGAGATTATCAGTTCAGCCTGAGGTTCCACCCTGAACTCACACTCAGCATTGTATTTAGGAAGGGCCTGACATGGAGAGCAAGACTCACACCTGCACTGACTGGTAATATGGAAACACCCAGCGTCTACTTTGAAGGTTTTTCCCAGTCACATCCTAAGATCATTATATACCATGGAGACTAAATTTTCACATGTATCATTTCTGACCTTCTGCTCCTTCCTCTCACTTGAATAATATTAACAGCCAAAACAGATTAAAGTCACTAATTATATGTTTAGCTCGTAGGTTTATTTATGGTGAAACAAAAAAAAAATATCCTACATTATGTTTTTTTAACTTTGTCACGAATATTAAATATTTTAATGAATGGACCAAAATAAAGGCATTAGAATATGTCTGCTTATGTATTCAAGTGCATTAAGTTGTTTGGGGTTTTTGTTGTTTTCTTTTTACAAGAACTACTTTACAAGAAGACTCACCTTGTCATTCAGGGAAATGTTTTCATCATTTTCTTCCAAGAAGACAAGATCACCCTCGACCACTTTTGAGCCATAAGTCTTCAGCCTATATGATGCTGCTTCATTCCAAATTTTACTGCAATAAGCATGGACATAGAATATGCGCAAGGAGTGAGGAATGCTGAGCCATCCTTTGGTACAACCTTCATCATTTACACCATAGCGATTTAAAGCTCGCAGCAACATCTTCTCTCTTACTTTAAATTCTGGAAGCATTACAAGTGTGCCCTTTGCATCTTCTGATATAAACAAAAATAACCATGTCAGTAATCCCTGATTATTCAAGTATTACCTGACATTTAAAAAGATAAAATAATCAAATAGAGAAAAAAAGGTGTCAATCTAGTGTCTCCATGCTTTGATTATTTCCTTTCCTTCAATGTGCTGTGTTAGACAAATTTCATCTTGTACGCCTATCAACACAGACCCATGAATTTATTCTGTTTCATGCAGTATAAATTAAAGTGGCTGTCATTCAGTTATTCAGCTTAGTTCGAACAATTTTTTTTTTTAGAAACTTATTTTATCACTCCAAAGGGTTTTTTTGAACCAGGTAACTGGAAGTAAAAGCCAAGCTGTAAAAGAGTATTAAATCTCTATTTCTCATCATTTCAGAAGCCGTATTTCACAGCAGGTAAAAACCATGTCAATACTTTAAAGGCAAAAATTACATTGGCCTTAGGGAATTCTGACTCTTAAGCAGACGAAAATGCACTTAATCAGATTTTTACTACATTATATAAATGCTGTATATTTAAAATTTTATGGGTTTTCTTTTTCATATTACAAGTGATTGCCTGATGAAGCCTTTTGCACAGACTTCTATGTCTGCTTCCAAGAAAAGGCAAGCAGCTGCTTTCAGGGTCCACATCGACTGGAAGTTCCATGCATCATACAGCCATGTACAGAACAGAATCATTTATCTTACACTTTTTTGTGAAACCAAACATACCTTTGTCTTTTGAAGCTATATATCATAGCTGGTATGTCAATCTACAGTGATAAGCAGGCTAATAGATGGGGAATATTTGAAAAGAAAAATATATTTGAAGTTGAGAGCAACTTCAAATTGGTGACAAAGTTCGGCTGAATGATAAAACTGACAAATATTGCAAACAGAGCACTCCACTCAGCACACTCCTGCTTTTGACCTATTTTGTTGATTTTAGCTCAAGAAAGAAAGAAAGTAGATGTGTTAAGTGCTGAGTATGAGTTGGGTGCCACACTCCTGTATACTTCCCTCACTAGGGAGAAGAAATTCATTATCCAAAAGCAGACAGATGGAAGGAGGCCACAACTCCTCTGATCATTCCTAGTCTCTTCCAGCATTATGATATACAGCGTTTGCTTCCATATTTTCTTGCACCTGAAGCACATTAATTTTCCTCTATTTTTCACATTTAGGGCCTCATCCTCATATAATTTTGAAATGTGCAACTCTATTGAGTTGCACATATAAAAACTGTAATGAAGTTCATGATAATGAAGTGTAAGTAGCATAAAGCAGTAAAAAAATAAAAAGTATTTCCCTGTGCAGCAACATTTTACTACCTCACAATATAGACTCTGCATAAGTACATGGACAATTTAAGTGGACATACCAGTTTGAAGAAAGTATCTTTTTGCATTGTTTACAGGATCATCAGTATCTTCAGGTGTGAAAAATAATTTCACAGCTTTCACCTTAAAAGTACAATTTTTTTCAGTTAAATATGAGTATTTGTCAGCTAAACAGGTAATTATGCATCTTAACATATTCTGCAAGCTCTCAAAATTCAGCTATTTAGTGTCGAAGTAAAATTCTCCCTTTCACAGAAGATCCCACGAACCACAGAACAATGTGTTGTGACCCTTCTCAGATTATGAAGAGGTTTTAGTCACCCAGAAAATGTAAAACAGTTTTCAAAACTCTGTGAGAAAACAGGTCACTTTCTTGGTCATCCAGTTCAAACTTCTTCACGTGAAATCATCATCATTCTATCTTGAACAGGAAGGTTCCTTCCATCCTGCATGCTTCATGCAAAATTTAGATTGAACACTTTCCACAGTCTCATACAAAGGGAAAACCTTTTCTTAATTTTGTTTTTTTAATACTGATGTGTATTAGGTTAGATGACACTGCAAGAAGGAAAACACTACAGTAATCTCTGCTACTTGCAATGTTAGAGGAGCTGCTCGATTTTGCTAGCACTTCTACCAACCTGTGACACTGGCTCCTGTCCTCCTCTGTATTGGACTGTGCAAGCCCATACTGGCACATTTTTAACATAAACAGTAATTCCTACCTATTTTAAATTAAAGTAACTAAGTTAAGACTAAGGATTTAAATCACAATTCCTCAGGGACTGGCACCTAGACCCACTGCTATCTGATGTCATATACATCAACAGCAACATTCACGAGCTGCCCTCAAATCTTGATTTTTGTATTTGAAAGATAAATTTTCTTGATTTTTGCTCAGAATCACAACAAGATTAGAAGAAAAGGATACTCAAGTATCTTTTTGACTTTGTAGTGTCTAATGAGTCTGCTATCTGTGCCAAACACTATACCACATACACTGAAAAGTACATGACTCTTATTATTACTTAATAAGCTCAGAACTGAAGAGTTTGGGAAAGTAGTTTTTCTTGATTTTTCTCAGAATCACAAGATTAGAAGAAAAGGATACTCAAGTATCTTTTTGACTTTGTAGTGTCTAATGAGTCTGCTATCTGTGCCAAACACTATACCACATACACTGAAAAGTAAATGACTCTTATCTTATTAATTATTACTTAATAAGCTCAGAACTGAAGAGTTTGGGAAAGTAGTCAAGCAATAATGGAAAGCAGAAATCTCTTCTATATGGCAGATAAACTACCACAGTATTGAAACAGCAAATGCTTTCTTATGAACTTATGTGACATTTTCAAGAAGTAAACAGACCCCCAGCAGGATAAAGAAGCTACAGTTCAGAGGTGATCAGGACCATGAATAAACACTGTATGAAGACTGCTGCTTTTCAGTGTTCAAACCTTGTATGGAATGCAAGCACTTTCCTGCCAAGTGGCATGATGACAATCCCAATCACATTCCAATCACAGACAGAACTATCACCCCAGAACTATTTAAGACTTCACTTGCTGTTTAAAAAAGGTTTTAGTTTCAGTATGAATATCTTCATGCTTATGTTGTTATCAAAACTGATCTAGCAATTGCTTCCAGCACACAGATGGATTTATCTCACAAATGAAATTGTTCACTGAGAAGGTCAACTGCAGTGCTAGATACTGCAACAGTAATATGAAATTCTCTTGACAGTAAGTACTCAAATTACAAAATGGAAATACCATTTTTTCCTTCAGTAAAGCCAATCCTATTTGATCTGTCTGAACAATTTGTCCTTGTCCAAATCGCTGAGGTCCGTAGTAATTCACAAAACCTTTTGTCTAAAATGAGAAAGAATAAATATGTTACATGCATGAAAGTACTGGATGTGATCAATAAGTCCAGGAAGACAACACACATACATCTATATTTACATCCAAAATGTATAAAACCAGAATCAGAAGTTACATGAAAAGCAAAACTCATAATTCATTATGATATTTTGGCACTAAAAAGATATCTAAAAAGATATCAAGTTCTACCATTGTCTTCATATTATTAAAAAGATCCCAGGTAAATGAAACAAAATTATTCCTGTATAGTTAATTATTATAATTACAACTACAGGTCAAGTCAAAGTAATTAAGCTTTTTAAATGTGTCAGATTATGGAATCTCTACTCAAGCAAATGTAGCACAGCTAATGAACAGTAACCACTGAGCATTTTTTTTTCCTAAAAACACAAATCTTTTTAACATGAGATAATTTCTGTTATTACTGCAATATAATGGTCAAAAGTGAACACTTCTGCAAACTGGGATTTTAAATCTCATAAATTCTAGGTCACACGTGAGAAGTAAAATCACAGTCATGTGACCCAAGGAGAACACCCTTTTCTAGAAAATAGTAAATATACATGGAGCAGACAAACACAAAACACATATTTGTTTTGCAAATGGTTATTAGGTTCAAATTTTATAATCTTGCTTTGAACACCTATAGGTCCCATACACAATTTTACTTTCACAGAAGATGAAAAATGCCTATTTTGGATTAATACGTATCCTGTTTTGTCATTTATCTTCTGACCAGTAAAGTAAATCTAATAAAGCAACACACAATCATGGGAATTTAGGTTTATGTTCCAAACAGAAAAATAAAATAATGCTTTTTCTGCTCAGCTGGAGCAAAAAAAGCATTATAGTACCAGCTGAATGCTTTTTTTAAAAGTAGAATTAATTTTCAAAAAACGTGTAATGTATTTTGCTTTTGCATACTGGGTAGGTTTTCATTCAAGAATTTATTCCTGTATTCATCTTCTTAAAGCAATTTATATTAATGAATGCTTTTCTTAAAAGTAGAATTAATTTTCAAAAAATGTGTAATGTATTTTGCTTTTGCACACTGGGTAGTTTTCATTCAAGAATTTATTCCTGTATTCATCTTCTTAAAGCAATTTATATTATAGTTATTACTTCAAAAGATAGGGCAAGAAAATCAGTACTGCAAAAAGTATTTACAGTTTTTCCCTTCCATTGTTTGCTTTTATTTTTCTTGGTGGTTTAAGAATGTCTGATGATTGGAGTTTCCTTCAGGGACTAAGGAAAGCAGAATCAAAATCCACTGCATTTCAGGGGAGTCTTCTTTCTCAGAAATGGACATTCCACATATGTTCATACCACGAAAGCTTTTCATCCAAGCCAACCATGCATGGTCCTCACATGACCAAAAAAGGCAACCAGCAGTGATGTGCAGTGAGCCTATGTGTGTATGTACAGCTATCCCATACACATCAGATGGATGTGTCAGTACATTGCTTCCCCTTCATCTGCCACAGTGAGACCCATCACTTGGCTCACCCCAGCTCTGTGCAGCAATGCTCCTATATCCATTCTCATTTGTTACTGAATTCCCCTTTTGCTGCACCACTCCGGGGTCTCCAGTCTGAAACACAGAATCAATCCACTTGCAATCCCTTCTTGGGAGGCAATTTTACTCCTGATTATCTAAGTAATGCAGGAACAATATAAAACTGCAAAAAGCACCAAACTTGGGAAATAGTGCAATTACTGTGTTATTACAAGCATTTTCCTTAAAAGCACTTTTTATAAGAGCAAACAATTAAAACTCTGTTCATTATCAGCAACCATGAGTCCTTCTTACCTTAACACTTTCCACTGCTTCAGCTATTCTCTCCTTCAAATCTGCAGAAGAGTCGTGACTGTGGTGCTGGAGATCTCTCACAACTATATCGAAGTGATTGCCCTTCAGCTGACCAAGTCTGAGGTGCTGGTATGCTGGACGGATGTTGTGTATTTTCATACCCTTTTTTTCCATTTTGTTTCCAAGTTCCTTCAACCTGAATGAATAATAGGGAGAAATTATGAACCATCCTCTACTAAAGCTATGCAACTTCTAATGGATGTCTTGTTCATCTTTGCACCAATACAAAAAACACTTAAAAAATAAAATGGGATGCAAAACAATTATTATGAGAAAACCAAATCAAATGGAGAGATAGAAGTCTTAAAATTTAGTTATAATCCAGAAATACTTTTTAAATGATTGGCATTTTTATGATACTGACAGACGCTGGAATTAAGCAATTCATGTAACTTTCTCAGAGTAACTGCACTGAATTGTTAATTTTTTCAATTGATAAGCTAGTTACTTTTTTACTCTTTACTCCTCAAAACCTGTTTTTCATTAAAGAAAAAGGAAAATAAAAGGTAATGTGCTCTAGCAGCCTCCAAAACACAACTGCTCTTTCTCTGTCAGACTTAACAAAAACAAATTCAGTGCACTGATTCTTTGGGTGTGCTCACACATGCTTGTAATTGGAAACACAGTTGACAGTTCAAATATTTACCCTTTAAAATATCCACTCAATCTCTTTGTTCTTAAAAGAACTTCTTTGTAAATAAGAGTCATTCAAATCAAAGGAAAATTTCAGCATAAGAGCTTGAATCCTAAGCAATATTTTAATAACTTCATAAACTGTTCATTTATGAAAAACATTTCTTTCTCTTGCTGTGTGGATGCACTTACCTATTTTTCTTCATCATTAAAACACTAACACAAAGTTTTGCTAATTATCTCCTGAACAACTGGCCTTACAGTCCAGTTTGCAGTGGAGTTTTACCATTGGCTTGAATGCCAAGTTTCATATTCCCTAAAGCCACAAAAGATTAAAGTAATTTCCACTGTGTTCTGTACAGGCAAGGGGAAGACACATCAGTAAGAATATTTCAAGAGATCATACCACGTTGATACTTATTAACACCAAAAACTACGTGCTAAACTGCTTGTACCCAGATTTTAAGTACCTCTCAGGAGTCACCTTTTTCACCACCATAGGCTGCAAAGTGATTGCCTTCTTATCTTTGATGCCAGTGTAACTGAAGTCTGAAGGAAGAACATCAAGTTCAGCTGCCAACAAGCCGATTGCTTCTAGTGTTTCCAGGTTTTCTTTCTGAAGGGTGAAAGCTGGAACAATCATTTCAGAATTATTAGAAACTTGCCTTTATGTTTGAGTGTTCTGCCATGACAGATGGTCAGGTTCTTCCCCTCAGACTTTAACAGCATGAAAATTCTAAAGAAACTGCCCTCCTACCCCACAAAACTAAATCAAATGAGACTTTTACAGCACAGAAGGAAAAAAAATATATACACAAAACTCAGACCAACCAAAAACCCTGATGCCTTTAAAAAGAGTACCTCATAAAAGGCAACACAATTCAACAGACATGCATGGACGTATTGCAGGAAACATTCTCTGTGTCAGAGAATACTTTGTAGAGTGAGAGCGTAAGTCAAATGTGACCTTACAAACTTGTTCAGTATCTAGATGCACCTCCTAAAATCCCATAATTACATTCAAGGGAAAGCTATCACCCTGGGAATGCCACAGAGTTAGTTAGTGGCTCCAATTAAAAGAACTGTAACCATTATCAGGGAGCAGTTTATGCCAAATCCCTACAGTAACTTGATTCCTCCATTTCATTCTCCAGGGATGTAACACCACTGCATTGATAATGATTCATTTCAACTTGACAGGCCTGTGTGTCATATAAAAATGATCCTGAGTACCAGTCTTATCTACAGAACACCATTAATAACCTGCCACCTACACTAAAAATGTATTTACCTGTATAAATATCTTGCTTCTCCTGAAAACCACCAGCACATCTTTTTCTGGACCCACTTTTTCCTCGAAACCGTACCGTTATTGATGTATTTGGCTGATCGTTGACATCTGTCGTGGTAAAAGATTTTGTTTCTAAAAGCTTTCCAAATTTTCTATTGATAAAGTGGTGAACTGTTTTTCTGTGCTCTTTGTTTCCATCAGGCTCAAAGGAAAACGTAGAATTTTCTAACTTGGCATCTAAAAATTTAAAGAAATCACTCGTTTCCTTTTCAGTCACTAATTGACAAAGTTCTCTGTAATCAGGATTCCCTTTTACAATCATTTCATTGTCTTTTGTAAGAGTGACTAGAAAGGGGAATTTCTGCCTAACAGCACTGTGTAAATCTGCTCGAATTTTCTTGTCCAGCCTAGGTCCTAGCGAGAACTCCCTAGCACCAGCATCCGCGCTGTTTTCCAAGCCCCACGCATCCTTCACGTCGCAGGCAAATCTGCCGAGCAGTTCGCTCACGGGCTTGCCGAGCAGGGACTCCAACACAGGGGCCCGCCCGCGGCCGGACTGCAGCCCGGGCTCTGCCGCACGCTCGCTCGTGCCCGGGCACGCGGCACAGCCGCCTCCCGCCCGCCCGGGGCCGCTCGGCGCCGTCCTGCGCCTCTTGGGCTCCCCGGGACGCGGGCTGCTCCGGGGCGGCTCAGCTCGGCACTCCCCGAGGGAGAGCTCGGGCGCCTCGAGCTCCGTCACCACGAAGTCGCTCGGCGAGTTTTTGATGGTGCCGCGGAAGCCGGCGTGCTCGCCCAGGTAACTGAAGGAGGGCAGCATGGCTGCGGCCTGCCTGCTCCCGCCGGGCCGCGGAGGAAAACGGAGCGGGGCGGAACAGCATCAGCCGCTACGAGGAAGGCTGCTGAAGGGCAGGGAGGCAGGGACGGACGGACGGACGGACGGAAGGACGGATGGATGCAGGGACCCAGGCTGGGAGCGAAGCACGAACGGACGGACAGACAGACAGACAGGCGGGAGCGCTGCGGCCCCGGCAGCCGCCGCCAGGGGGCGCCACGACCTCCTCCCCCCCGCTTCCCATCAACGGGGCCCAAGGACGTTACCAAGTTCCCCAGGGCCGGGGGGGGGAAAGCCACGAGACAACGAGCCCCCCTCCTCGCGGCCAGACATGGGGCGTGCCGGGGGCGGGGTCCCTCTCGGCCGCCTATGGGGTGGCCAGGTGGGAGAGCGCTTCCGCTTTGTCATCACCGCGCCGGTGACGTCAGCGGCACCGGGAGGCTGGGCCCCGCCCCCTTAAAGGGGAAGCGTTAAAGGCGGAGGGGAAGCGGGGCCCGCGGGTCGGGAGAGACGGTGAGGCGTGAGGGGGCCCCGGCGGCGCCGGCTCCGCCCCGGTTCCGCCCCGGCGGCGGGGTGCAGGGGGCGCTCGCAGCCGGGAACGGTGGGCGGGGGCCGGGCCGGGGGCGGGTGTGGCCCTTGGCTGCGCGGCCGCTTCCCGGCGCCCCGCAGGGATAACGCTGTGTCCCGCCAGGAGCGGAGGATGGGCGAGCCCGTGACGGAGTCCACGTTCGTCCGCTGCCTGAGCTACGGGCTTGTGCGGCGGCTGGCAGAGCTCATCGACCCGCAGGAAGGGTGGAAGAAGCTTGCGGTGGATATAACCAGCCCGTGCGGTGACAGCAGATACAGCCAGGCGCACATAAGGTCCTCCACCAAAGCCCCGTAACTAAACCCGTGCATTTGAACACAAACACCTTGTTAACCCCGCTTCCCGTCCCGTTACCGTAACTCGCTGCACTTCCTGTGCTGTGGGCACCTGTGTCTGACAGTCCCTTTCCTTAGGGAACGCAAGTAATTACTCCTAATTTTACTGCAGCTCAGGTTCTAAGCAAACCTCAGAAAATTGACTGAAGAAATTAGGATTAATTAGAATACACACATAGGTATTTTTAGCAATACAGCACGGGCTGCATAACTTTGTGTGCCCTAAAGACTAGTGGGCATTGATGTTATGGTGCCCAAGAGACAGCTGTGCTGTAACTCCTAATTCACTGCTTCCAAGAAAATGCCCAATAAATGTAAGGAACCCAAGGCCTAAAACTAACAAGTTTACTTGAGGTGTAATGCTTGCAATATTTTATAAGCACCTCATTGCTTGAAAGGCTTGTTGAATCTTCATTGAAGCTGTTTCAAAGACTATGGGGTTTTTAGATGCTGTATCATCTTGGATTTCCAGTCTTTTCTAGTAATGGTAGTATTAAATCTTTGAAATCTTCGTTGGAGCTGTTTCAAAGACTATGGGTTTTTTAGGTGCTGTATGTATCATCTTGGATTTCCAGTCTTTTCTAGTAATGGTAGTATTAAATCTTTGTTCTTCTTTCAATAATAATATTAAATCAGTCAGAATACTGGCTCTCATGTTCTTCTTAATGCCCATATCAAAATATTCAAGGTGGAATGTGAATGCTAAATGGATGCAAAACAATTATTTTTGCCATTTGATCTGGGTCTGACTTACTCTCTGTCTCTAGCTGACGTTCTCTTCTCTGTTAGTCCAAGATGCCATTATATTATGGACCCTAGACAAACAGCTGAAGCCATGCATATGTGTATTTCCCATAGTTTTTCCCATATTTTGCATGCCTTTACCCTGATTTTAAATGTGTTCAGGTTTTTTTTAATGTGTTTTCAGAAGATTTGTGGTTTTTGCAGTACATTCAGATTTTTTTTCAATGTTGTTTTTTCTTGTCATTTGCCTTTAATCTCTTTCCCTTCATGCTTCTTGAGATAATTTTTTCCTTTTTTTTTAATACTGGTCTTAATATTTATCTTTTAAGGAGATTTGAGGCATTTGTACAGATGGGAAAGAGCCCCACCTGTGAATTGCTTTATGACTGGGGAACCACAAACTGTACAGTTGCTGATCTTGTGGATCTGCTGATAAGGAATCAGTTCCTAGCACCAGCAAGCCTTTTGCTTCCAGGTAACTTGTTGCTCTTGGACATTTTGTACTGTGTTCTCAGTTTTCTAAGATGCTAAAGAACTTCATACTAATTTGAAAATCAGAAAGGATTAGGTTAAAATAACCAAAAGTGAATATATTTTCCACTTTCTATCATTTGTAATAACAGTTTAAGTGTTTCAAGTTTCAATAAGAGTGCTGGAGTTTACACATCACTATGTGATGTGTAAAGGGGGGCTAAGCACAATATAACCTGGTTAACAATATAACATACTTATGTGTCTCCTAATTTTCAAAAATACTGGCATTAACATTACTTAGTTTTTCTCTGGTTCCTAATGTAGTTAACGCTTTTTCTAAATTCCCTTTTCAGAAGCTGTAAGGATGCCACAGGAAGTTACATTACCTCTTTCTTCACAGGAAACCTTGCCTATACATGAGAAACAACTACCTGTACAAGAAAAAAAAGTGGCATCTGTAAAGCCTGCTTTAGCTCAGAGTACTGAGAAGCAGCATTCAGATTCTTCCTGCTCAGGTGAAGAAAACAGCAGCTCACAGTCCAGTAACACAGGTAGACATTCACTTTGGTAGAATTCAGTGCTATTTTTTTTTTTTTGCTGATGTGTTCTTCACCCATGTGAAATAAATCATGGTGGTGCATGAGAGTGATGACTCTATTCCTGTCATGGTGCATTTGTGGGAAACAGCATCTTGCCAAAAAATCACCTACTTTGAGGGTAATTAACTTAACTGTTAATTAAATTGCAACTTCTTTTTTGACACACATAATCCTGTTGTGCTTTTCCAATACCTATTTTATAGACTGTTCAGCATCTCATGCTTTGAAACAAGGTTTTGTATGTCAGAAATTACAAAGAATGCTGGAGAAAAAATGGCTGAAGAAGGCATTTTAGGAATGTGTGTGGTTGGTCTGTTCTTTCCTAAAGGTTCATATTTGGGTTGCTGCCAGGAACATGATGTAACGTTGGTGTATTTTTTATATATGAGGCAGTGTGGCTCTCTCTGTGATCTCAGAAATTAATGTACACATTTAATTTCTGCTACCTGTATTACAAGTATGAATCAAAAATACAATCAGATGCGTGCTACAGTGTTAGTTGTGAAGAAAATGATGCACAGGTAATTGTGTATGTTCATCTGCCTTCCTTTTGTGTTTCTGGTATCTTCATCACAGAGCTGGAAGTAGGGCTCCACTATGTCAGGTTTTGTGCAGTAGCAAGTTTTTGTTTCAAGAGAACTGAAACAGAAAACCTTGTTCCTTAAGTGAAAACATAGTTTTATGCTAAATATCAATGTCTTTCAGATTTCCAGAATTTTTTGTTTCATGACTTGGAAAGCATTACAAATAATTTTGATGTGCGACCAGAATCAGCTGGAGGTAATAAACTGGGAGAAGGTGGCTTTGGCATTGTGTTCAAAGGCTACATCAATGGCAAAAACGTGGCTGTCAAGAAGCTCATTGCTGTGAGTTGTCCTGGGGTTTTTTCATTTTAATGACTGTGTACTTTATAGAATAGACTTGTTTATCTTGTTTATTGTGAAAAGCGTTCAATGATACATTTCAAAAAGCATTGTGACCATGTTACACATTAGTTGGATTAAGAAATTTATCCTTACTCCCATCAGAGTTGCAAGTCAGCACAGTCACAGGAGCCAATTCTTGCCTTCTCTGTGGTTGTTCTTTGAGAAGCCAAGCGAGTTGTTGGGAAGAGCAGAGTGCTTCCCCAGTTGTTTTCCCCTCACTCTCAAGAAGTGCCAGAAGAGAAGAGATCCTAAGGTGGTTTCCATTTCAGATTAGGATGGCTGAGATTCACAAGCTAAATTGTCACAGAATTTCAGTCTTCATAAGCATTGTTTTGTGTGAATATTGAATTTGGTAATTAAGTGCTATTAGGGTGTGATTGCAATGAATGGAGTAAGTTGTTGATTGCTGAAACTGGATCCATTTATCCAGTTATACAGTGTTCCAAGGAATTTAAAGTCACATTCTGATACTTTATTTTGAACTGAGTAGAAGGTGTATTGTGAAAAGTTAACTAAGAATGGCTTGCAATTCTTTTTTTTTTTTAATGAACTGTGCATTTATCATGACCCAATGATGTTAATATCAAATACTTCTTTTTATAGATGGTTGATGTTAGTGTTCAGGAGTTGAAACAGCAGTTTGAGCAAGAAATAAACATAATGGCAAAGTGAGTACATCATTATATAATTTTTGTCTTTCTAACATAACAATTTGCTGAAAATGTTTGCTGAAAATGTTCACTGAAAATGTTTAACTGAAAATGTTTCTTATACAGCACAAGCACATTTTGTTTGTTTTAAAACATCACCACACAAACCTGGCTTTGTGCAGTAGAGGTGAAACAAGTCATTGGGAATCAAGTTCCCCTCTACCTTGTGTTTTCCTCAGATGAGAGTCTTACAGAGCACATGTGAACAGATTTTTTTTCTTTTTTTCTGTAGGTGTCAGCATGAAAATTTAGTAGAATTACTTGGTTTCTCAAGTGATGGTGCTCAGCCATGTCTGGTGTATGAATACATGCCCAACGGTTCATTGCTTGACAGGCTTGCTTGTCTGGTAAGTGAAATCTCTTCTAGCTTCCAGTTGCCTTACTTTGCCCAAGTACAGGAATCTGTGGAATGTCTTTCAAATGGAACTGAGCTGTAATGTTTTACTACTTAAAATGATGTTTTACTGCTTTCTTCTTGTGTTCTAATAACAAGTATCCTTCCAATAAGATTTTACACAAACATTTTAGATAGATTAAAGTCAAATCAGGCTGTCAGTGCAATGTCATGTACTGCTATCTCAATCATCATAGAAGCTTGCACTGACTGTGCCTGTGTGAGGCAGTGCAGAGGGTGCTGCAGTCTTGTTCCCAGTTCTTATGTTGGCATGTTCTCTCCTGAGATTCTGCAAAATCTGCGAAACTGACCTTGTTCACTGTCCTTGTGATAGTGGTTATAACACAGTGCTCATGGTCTGCTTATCTCTTTCTGAAGTACGTAAGTAAATGTGAGTTTCAATTTAAAAAAAATATTATTTTGTGTAAATGCTTAAGATTTAATCACATGGTGTATGTTCTAGCCTTGGCCTTAAGTAAATAACAAGTTGCTTTGGTTTGGTGAGATGACTCTGTGTATCAAGGACACACCATCCAATAGTAAGCCAGACTTAAGGTAGTAGATCAGTGTCTGTGTTAATTTGTTGAAGGAG